GAGGAGGGAGGAAAGGGAGGGAAAAACATGGAAGGAAAGAAGGAATAAACAGGGAGAAATGAAGAGAGAGGGAGGAAAGTTAGGAAGGAAGAGGAGGAAGAAAGGAAGGGAAAAAGAGGAAAGAATGAAAGGAAAAGAGTGAGAGAAGAGTGAGAAAAAGGAAGCCACTGCCTTGTCTGTTGGGAAGGGAAAACAAGGGAGAGAGGAAGACAGGAAGGAGGGGAAAAGGAATGAAGGAAGGGGGAGTAAAGGAGAGAAATTGGGGGAGGAAAAGTGAAGGATGAATGGATGGAAGGAAGAGATGGAGGGGAGGGAGGCAGGAAGGGAGAGAAGGAAGCAAGGAATGGAGGAAGGAATGGAAGGAAGGGAGGAAGAAAGGGGAGGGAAGAAAGGAAGAGGGAGAGAAAGAGGGAAGGCAGGAAAGAAGAAAGAAGGTACAGGAGAAGGGAAGAGAAAGGGAGGGAAAGAAGGAAGAAAAAAGGGAGGGAGGAAGTGGGAAGGAAGGTTCCTAATGCTTGTTGCCAGATTCCCACAAGGAAACTTAATGTAAAAGTCAACAGGAAGTTCGAAGTCGCTCCCACTCCCAATGATTGTGAACACGTATTTTTCTTTTTAGGTAAGGAAATCTCTCTGAAATGATGAGCCTACAGGTCATGGATTATGTTATACATTTGAAAATGTATAAAATGTTTCTCAGGATTGTGAATCCCACAGATTAATAATTCCCTCTATGAGGAAGATAGGCAAGCAAAAAATAAAATTTGATTGGAATTCTTTGATTTTTATTCACCCTATAAAGGCAATGTATAAAATAACCTTATTTTATGTCTGTTCCAATCTCAATATGGGATATCTTACGAAAGATTCTTAAATGCTACATTTACTTTTAATTTCTCAAGCAATAAGCAACCCACCCAAATTTGAACTCAAGACCTTCCAGCTCCAGTAGGCTTTTATTTTTTAAAGTTATCCAATCTTTTATCCAAAACAAAAATATGCCTCAAAATATAATTTCAGCTCAGGTAAAGTTAACTCTCCTCTCTCTAGTATCCTAAATCAACTTGTTTTTTTGTTTGCTACACAAAGTTAGAAATATCCTTTTGACATAGTTTAAAATAGGGGTCGCCAACCTTTTGGACCTCAGGGACCACCAAACTCATAATTTTAAATCCCAGGGACCATTAACTGGTTCTGTGGGCGTGGCTAACTTGTGAGTGTGGCTTGGTGGTCATGTGACTGGCTGGGCATGGCTTGTATGTAAATATTATAAATATTTATATAAATATTGAATTTTTTATTAAAAAATAGCAACTTTTACCCAAAATCAGGCAAAGCAGGCAGGCAGAATTGAGTTGCTCACAGAATCACAGATTCATTCAGAGATCTATCTATCTGCCATTGGCTAGCTCAGTCTGTCATATAAAATTTGCTTGCAAGCAAACTCATACAATTTGCAAGCAAGCAAACTCACAAAATTAACTCACAGCACACCATGTATGTAAATATTGAATTTTTTTATAAAAAAAAGAGCAACTTTTACCCAAAATCAGGCAAAGCAGGCAGGCAGATTGAGTTGCTCACAGAATCATTCAGTGATCTATCTATCTGCCATTGGCTAGCTCAGTCTCAAATTTGCTTGCCATGAGTCTGCTCTGAATAACAGAACCTTTAGTCCTAAGGGAGGTTCGGCTGTGCTTAAAAGCAGTGCCGAAGATCTAAAGACTAGCTAGAAATCAAGAAATCCAACCATTTCCTGCTTCCTAGCTAATTTAAATCTCTAGGCACAGAAGAATAGATGATGGTTGGAAAAAGGAAAATGGCAATTTAGCAGGCAAGTTTGCCAGGTGAGAAGTGAGTGGGCGGGGAGGGCTCCCATGGGCCATGTGGGCTGCGCAGCCTTGTGTTTCTGCACAGCCTGGATTAATTGCTTTGGGATGGTGCTCTGGGAGTGAGATTTCTCTGTGGCCCACCAGAATTTTCTGGCGGTCCACCGGTTGGAGACCACCGTAAGAAAGTAAGAAAATTTCTTACTTTTCTGTATGTTTATTTTTTATCTCATTGCAGATATCTGTTCTAAACGTTCTGTGATATTCTTTGTTGAACCTCTTCCTGAGAACTTTGTCTTTCTTGGCTTTGGTTTCTCTTCCTGGCAATTTCCATTTTATTCTGACACCAAGTTTGCTTTCTCCTGTTTCTGGATCTTTGACAATCTCTTTTCACATGCTTAGCAGCTTATCTATTTCAGACAGGTTAGAAATGCAATTCGCACATTGTTTCATTTTTGCACCGTTCGTTTTGCTACCTTACAAAACACAATAGTACCCAATATTATCTATCAATTCAAGGTCAATTCTACTCAGAGAAAGCCTATATTCATATCGTTTCGGGACAACTACAGTGGGGTATCGGCGGCTGCCACTTGAAGCACGCTGCAGCGGTACAAACAGCAAGTGCACGACGAGTGGTGCGGCGTGCGCGAGGACAGCCCCCAACTCGCTCTCGCGAGCCACTAAGCATAGCGGCAACTGTGGGAGCAGCGACTGAATTGTCACCAGTCCCCTCCGCCCCCTCGTCAGGGGGCCGCGAAGACAAGACACGAAGGCGGAGGAAGCCCCCAGGGCCGCTGCCGGGCATGCGCGACGCCCCAGGAACATGGCGGAGGAGGCAGCAGCAGCAGCAGCAGCGGCGGCGTGAATCTTGTGGCGAGGGCACCGCGCAGCTGACAGAAGGGCGAGCCGAGCCCCCGGCTTGCTACGAGACCGGGGCTCGTTCGGTGAGTGCCTCCGGTTCCGGAGTTCCGAGCGTTTTTGCCTTCCAAGGGGGAAAAGCAGGAGGGCTGGAGCCGCCTCCCCCCTTGGCCGCCGCTTTCTCCTCTCTCCACTGTGGGATCTCCCGGGTCCCGCGTTCTAAAACGCGAGCTGAGAAGGGGAAAACGCTGGTGTCAGAGCAGCAGTCACCCGCCACCTCTCGCCGAGTACTTGGTGTCTGCGAGGTCGGGGTGACTGGTTCCGGATACTCGTCTTCCACCTCCCCCAACCAAGTCTTCCAGGCGACGACTGTCTTCTTCTCCTTCGGGTTTTCCCGAGCTGCCTCTTTCTTCTCGGCCTCTTGCACCCTCCCTTTGGGTCTTGGGGCAGTTTGGGGCGCGCGCTGCCTCCCCTCCTCCCCTCCCTCGGCTGTCTCCTTTAACGGGTCGGAGGGGATTTATAATCCCGCTCTCCCTTCCTCAGATAAACCCTCCAGTTCCCCCTTTCTGATGATCAAAAGGTAGAAGGGGAGGAGGAGTGAGGAAACATTGCAATCCTCTTTGAAGAGGGGCAGGAGGAGGTGGGAAACCTTGCGAGAGGGGAACTCACCCCTGCGTTTAGCCAGGGGTCATGGCAGGTCTCAGTCCCTCCCGCTTTAGCTCTCTCTCTCTTTCTCTCTCTCTCTCTGGAAAGCCCTTCTGCCTGTAGGTGGAGGCCGGCCGGCCCGCCGGAGAGCCGGTTTCTGGACAGGCAGAGTTCTGCGCTTTGAATGCTGCGCGGTTTTATTTGAAAGGGGAGGAGAGACGAGCGACTGACACCTCCTGACCAGAGCTGAGCCAGCACAAACTGTCGCATTTAGCCCTAGCTAAAGTTGGTAACGATGCTGGCTTTTCTGTTGGGCATGCTGCTTTAACAGAAGTTACTGCACTTTAGTAGGACGGGGATAACCGTGGGCACTGAAGAAGAGGAGGGGGCACAGGCGAATTTCACACACCCCACCAAGCTTTTCGGGCTAAAAGCTCAAGGACTAAAGCTGTTCGCGGCAGTTCTGCACTATTTTGCCCCCAGCCCGCGCATTTTGAATTGGCTCTTATTTTCTGGTTTGCTTGGATGTGCTTTGACACTGGCTTAGACGTGGACACACCTCCTCGCGATGTGGCTTTCCTCTGGCTCTCCTCCCTTTCCTCTTCTTTGGCATGAAGTACAGTATTGTATGCAAGTGACGCCTAAAAACCCACTTGTCCGTGGACCGGCTGTTGCTGCGGCAGTTACTTTAACTTGGCCGGGCAAATAGGCACGCAAAGAATAGATGCGGTTTCTTTGCTTCTGATAACCGATGAGTTGGGTGCGGTGTTTACTTCTTCTCGTCTTGTAAATGAAGGCCAGTCTTTCTCCGAAGTCAGTAAGGCTTGGCCTAAAGAGCCTTGAGGACGAGTGGGAGGTATATTAACAAAGAAACACGATGCTTCTCTAGTGCAAATTTGAGCCTAGAAATACTCTTCCGTGCAGAAACAAGAAGTTTCAGGAAATTTATTACTTTGGGTTTGTGTGTATGTTGGCCATAACACGCTTCTGATCGCATTCATTTCTTCAGAGAAACAGTTTCAACCTGTGACTATTTTCTTTATCAATTTTGACCAAGGGTGCAATCTGGTGTCCTAGAAGCACACTCAGTACAATTTAGGACAGCTTACTTTGATTAAGCATGCAAAACATTGCACTGTATGGTTTTAACACTGAAGATACCTACAGAAGAGCAAGCCCCATTTGGCACAGGGAGAAATATTTGTCAGTAATAATACATAGAATGACTTTTTGTGTCTGCAGATTATGGTAGCTAGTCTCCACAAAAATGTTTTTATTTTCCTTGCATAAAATCTTTAGAATGTTTCTGAGTATGTACGATTGTATGGACAATCATTTTAAATAAAACAAATTAATATTAAAAGAACAAAGGTGTTTTTAAATGTAAAGGTTCAGTAACTGAACATGTTTCAGCGAAATTGTAATTTACATGGAAATGCATGTTATTTTGCCAGTAGGTACACAGTGGTTGAGTTAGATCAGTTGATCCTAAAAAGAGTTTAGGGAAAACTATCAAAGTGTAAGTTAAAGTATTGATGCAATTTTTCTAAATCTTAGTCTTATAAATAAGAACATGGTCTCTCCATGTTTGGGTCCTAAACATCTTTATTTAATTTGTGTAAAGTTTGGATAACTTTTGAGGCTTATACCCAAGTATGCATTAAAAATTGTATTAAAGTAAAAGCAATATGTTTGGGATAAAGGCATAAAAATAGTTTTTTAAACAGTTTTTTAAAGGATGGGGAATAATATGGCTATGGAACTTAAAGGCTAATTACACTGTTGATATTTCCATTTCCCCTCCAGTCCCATAATGGTTGAATTACATACTAGTAATTAATTCTGCTATTGCAGCAATTTCTGTGTTAAAGTGTTTTTCTTGTCCATGCAGTTTGCTGCTTGGTTAGAAGAAAGCAAATCAATGCAAAGTTGTTCTATAGTTTAGCTATATTGAAAAATGAATAGAAATCACAGATGATGAAAAGATACCTGATTTTTGTGGATTTGCAAGTATGACTTGCTAAGCTAAATCCATTCCATTTTCTTATATACATTTGCATACAGAACACAGGGGAAGATAAGTTATATGGAGTTAATTGCTGTATTTCCCCCCTTGCTTAGCCATTTGCAGGTAGTGCAAAAGAGAATTTTCATTCAGACACAAAGTTTGAAAGTATATTTTAAAAAATCTCAGTACTTAACATAGTGATCAAACTATGATGGAACAAAGCATGTTTATGTCATTTGGATAATGACTTACTACTAAAATGTCTGCAATTGGAGTGCAAGCATTTTAAATATTTAGGGGTGAATTAGTGCTAAATTTATTCCATTCTTGTAAGAGTTATTAGTGTTATTCAGGGTACTCATCTGCTTAGGTACATCAATTCTACAGTATCTGCTTCTAATAAAGTAAACCTGACTTTATTTTAGGTGTGAACAACTTTTTAAAGAATAAACAAAGACGAGGAATTGTATTACAAGATGAAACAACATCCTAAAGGTTTAGGATATACAAATTATAATTTGGCCTCCAATAATGCATACATTAATTTTTTTAGTCTATTGTAGCTTGTCTTTAAAATTGTTTTCTTGTAACACATCTAGGAATGTTTAGATCTATAGTCATATTTTTCTCCAATAAAAATATTTTATACAGTTTATAAATATTTCTTTGCTTATATAAAATGCATGTAAGAGAAAATTAGTTTCAAAGGACTGCAGCTTTAATTCTAACTAAATTTATATGATTGGATTGATGGTGCTCTTTATATGGAAAATTATTGTTTAGAAAGTTAAAAGTATATTTATGATATGAAGCACTATCATGAAAATGGTTAAAAGAAAGATCTAAAGCTTTTTGAAAGCAACAGATGTAAATGTATATTGGGTTTGTCCTTCAGAAAAATAATCCTAATCTGAGAGCAATATAAAAACTCCTATCTCAATTCTAGTTTAAACAGTATATAATGATTCAAACTATTGCATGATTCAAACTATTTCCTTTTAGTAGCATATGGGAGGAGGTGACAACTGTGCTTGATCCCTGCAATTAAGGGCTTTCTTCCTAGAGTATTTTATTAGTAAAGCAATTTCTTTTTAATGAACTGGAATTGCAACAATTTTGAGATTTTAATTTGATTTGATTTGCTAAGGACAGCAAACTCCAAAAAGACTCTTAAAGTACAGATATAAAATTCTAGTCAGTGTAAATGTATTTACAAAATTATCCTCCTCTAAAGTAACTTTTTGCGAGGGCATAGGTAATAAAGTGATTTCCTCGCAACAAATCAGTGAGTATCATGGCAAAGAAGCAAATTGAGCAGTATGATTTGTTCAAATTCTGTGCATTGTACCATTTGCAAAGTAGTTTAGTTACACTGAATAAATGTTACTAATTTTCTTGGTCTGAAGAATGCTCCTTCTAATCATGTTCTTTAAGATCACTGTAATTTAGAATACTAAATTATATGAATGGAAAAAGATTATGGGTACACATATTTTCAACTTTAAAAAAATTACATACAAATAAAATGGTTGTAATGTCATTAATTTTTCTAATCACAAACATCATTTTTCTTGAGATGAATTTTTCTGTAAATTACTGCAATTAAATTTATAGTCAACTATATAAATAATGAACTTCACATTCCAGCGTGAAAGATAACATTTGATAATTAAAATAGTAATCCGGCACATTTTAAAAATGATACTGAAGGCCTATTTTTCTGTCATTAAAATTCCCCATGTACTGATATATATGTTAATAGGCTAATTTAAGATATTACAAATATAAAAATAATAGTTTAGCTAGTGTTTTCCTTTTTATTTCTCAGTCACAACAAGTTTTAAATCATTTATCAATCTGGAATAAGACAAAATAAATCCTACCTTATAAAACTATGAAACTGACTCAATTACTTAACTCATATAAAGGCACATCGCTTTTTAAAATATAGCAGTGGTCAAATTTCCTCTTTGTTAATTTTGCAATCTTGAATTTAGAATTAGTTCATACAGTTATTCTATGTTATTTTATATAATTAGAGATGGATTCATTTGATTAAAATTGTATTCAGATTGACATTTTATGATCTCTTCTGGCAATTAAGAGTAAAAATACCCTTGGCAATACATGGCCCCAGTATGTGACATTGTGGCAATTTGTAAACAAAGCCCAAGAGATTAATTTAATAATGTATTAGGTTTTTAATGAATAAATGAGAAGGGGGAGGAAATAGCAACATGAATAATTAATGCTATGTTGTAGATACACTGACATTTAATTATGATTTATAGTAACAAGAAGTTGACTGCTTTTTCTATGTTGAATTGAGATGGAAAATTCTGTTTGGAAGAGAAATTAATCCCCATCATTGGAAAATTTGTATCTTCAATATATGATGAGACAGGTATATTTTTGGCCGTTGTACTTTATTTTAGGAAGTTGCTACATGAATGATTTCCTAATCTTCAGCATTAGATCTAGAATTCTGGATGAATTTGTGGGCTGAATTTTATAGGCTATGAAATAGGTTATTGGCAATGTTTATTGCCAACCCTTCCCTTTGGATGGGGTTTCTGTTAGCTGACAATCTTGTCTCTGTCTAGATGCTCATTTGTCTGAAATGCTGGAATTCTTTTTATGTTTTCCAGAAAGTACTTCAGTGGCTTAGAGAGATATAATCACTATTGAACTGGAATCTTTATTACAGGAGCAAGTGTAATCTGCTGCTGGCTCGAAAAGCAACAATAGAAAGATAAACACAAGTGGTTTAAAGTTGACTGCTCATAAAGAGGATGACTTGGATCACCTTTCAGTTGTAAGATAGCTTTGAAATCTGTTTTGAATTCAACAGCTTTTTGTAATAGCTCCTATTTCCTTTTATTGAAATGGGGTTTCATTTGTTGAATTAATTTCATAGAAGAGTACGCTTTATTATTTGTATATTTTTACAAATATACTTGTGTTAGCATTTTTGCACCTGAACTTTTGAAATAAAAAATACATACATACATTAATGTTTACTCCTATATTTGATCAGACATAAACACCCTAGGGAATTTCATTTTTTGAGAAGAAATAATGATTTTTATTACAATCTGTATACAATGCAGTTCAATTTTAAAGGTTGTTAAAATGACATTTTAAAGTTTATATTTTCCTCATAAGTGTGAAAGTTTCAAGTTTTATATTTTAACTATTCTAACCGATTCTCAAATATTTTATTAGGATCAATTTGATCACATTTTAGTTTTCTAAATGTACTATGCAATTTTATAAGACTGGGAACAAGGAATTGTTAATATATTCTTGAAAAGTTTTAAATTAGTACATAACATATAGCACAATTAAATAATATAGAACAATTATATTTGTATCTGAATCTTTGAACTCTGTAAAACTTGTTATTTATGAATGAATGTTTCTTAGTATTTCAGCAAGTTAGGTCATTTTACGGTATATCCCTGTTTACCTTGCAATGTTCTATATAATTTAGCAGCAATAATCTCTAAGTAACATATACAGAATTACTGAACACTATTAGTTCAAGATATAAAGACCACAAAAAATGTTGTGGATTATTGCATTCATATTCTATTTCAGCAAAATTCATACAAACAAATGGCAAATGGTATTGAATTTTGTTCCTTCGTCATCATCAGTTTTTGTCCAAATTGATTATCGATAAAAGGCATAAATCTTCTTCTTTTCTTTTTCTTCAGCGTTTGTCTCGCGCTCTGGCGAGGTCCGCTAATGTCCTTTAAAAGGCATAAATATGTACCTCATTTATCAAGATTGCACTTTTCAGGAAGGTTGGCTCAATAAATGGCATTATTTAAGTGGAAAACAAGAATTAAAAGAGATCTAACTGGCTTAAGACCAATTAAATTTTTATCTTGGATGTACTTATGCAGTAAATAAATTGATACATTTAGAGTTTTATTGCTGCAACTGTTTTGTAATATAAATCAAACAAACAATATTGTACCATGTTGCCCTGAAAATAAGACCCTGTCTTATATATATTTTTTGCCACAAAAAAAGGCACTAGGTCTTATTTTCAGGGGATGTAATCCACTGACTAATTTTACTTGTGCACGTCACCCCTGACCTCCTTTTCGCTGTCAGAGGCCTTCAGGAACTACTACTACTGCGGCCGGCAAGTCTTGCCTGAAGGCGTCTGCAGCCAATAACAGAGCTCCGGATAGATCCAGAGCTTTGTTATCAGCTACAGTGGCCTTCAGGAAAGCCTTGCCGGCTGCAGAAGAAATGGACTGTCAAGGCAGGTGTCAGGGTATGTGAGGCCTGGCTACAGCTGTCCAAAAGTAAGTAGTAGGGCAGCTCCACACACACACACACACCCCCACCCTAGCTTAATTTTTACCCATGCATTCTGGAGTGAGTAATTAGGACTTATTTGGGGAGCAGGGCTTATATTGGCCGCACACATAAAAATCAAGCTAAGACTTACTTTCAGGGTAGGTCGTATTTTTGGGGAAATAGGGCATATGTGCTAAAAGTAAAAAAGTACTAAAGCAAATAATGTCAATTTCTATGTAATGTTAAAAGCATTGAACTTATAATTACTATAATATCCTAATATAAATGTAATTCTACATTGTGTGTGTGTGTGTGTGTGTGAAGTGTTTGTGTGTATGGTTAGAAATAATAGGAATCCTTCAATAAATCTGTTGTAAATAGTGTCTAAATCTGAAATTTAAAGAACCTAAAATTGAAAAAAATGTGCATGAGTTTTTGTGGGGATGAGTAGAAACAGAATTAAAGCATTTTCTTATTTTTAATTCCATTCCTTATTAACTTACTGGTTTTATACTGTTCGTTATATATACATATGTCTATATTTGTGGATATGATGTGTGTGTGTGTGTGTGTGTGTGTGTGTGCATGTGTGCTTTCTTCCTAATCTATTGTATTACTGCTTTACAGGAAACAATTCTACTGAAACAGAAGAGTGAACTTTTCAGGCAACATTTGTATTTTTATTGTGACAGGGAGGACCTGACTTTTAACCATGGGGAAAACAGGTAAAGTTGAAACAATAAGATAGTAAAAGGGAACATTAACACCAGAAGTCACAATTTCCAGACATTTAAAGTGTGACTTTTAGTTTCAAGAGTTTAATAAATTCTAAGAGGACTCCTAATTCCTAAACTGGAAATTTGTTGACAATTAGTAATATAATTTCATGAAAAAGAGATGTAGATGTTTGCAGAATAGCTACAGTATTGATATAAACAACTTTTTTTTCTGAACTCAAATTTTGATTTCTAGATGACGGGAAAAACTAAAACTGGTTGGGTAAATATTTAATGGCATCTGCTAGATATCATTTAATTTGTGAAAGAAAATACATTTTCATAAAATTGCAAATTTAATGTGCAAAAGTCTTTAAATATGCTGTTTTATTAAAACAATTTGCAATAACCAAGTAGTAGGCAAACTGGATTTGAAACTAAAAAGTTTATTTGGAATGGTTTTGTTTAACAGCTTAAAAAATCGTATCTTTTCCTGAGATTGTATAGATATTGCTGATAAGTGAAAAAGATACATTTGGGTTAAGGAAGAAGCTAGAAAGTTTTTGGAATGATTTCATTTAACAGCTGTGGCAGCTGCTTAAACAAGTTGTACCTTTTTCTGGGATTGTATAGCTATTGCTGATAAGTGGGAAAAAAAGATAGATTTAGTTTAAGAAAATGTCAACATGAGCTACTGGACATGCTTTAAATTTCCTTTTTTGAATCTAAGTTCTGCACTGGTCTAATAACCTGGTAGATTTTTTTTTTCATAAAGTAGGCATTTTTAAATATCTGATAAGCATTCTAAGTTATTTTTGATATTAATGTCATGTCTTATCTTCAAGTGTATCAGTAAAAAGTGTATCACAAAGCTCACAAAAGTACCATATGCATATAATTCTGTTCACATATTTCTTTCATTATTTAAAAAAATCAAGATAAAGTAAAATGTACTATGAACTCACATTCTGGGAATACTGTATTAGCACTGGTGTCTGTACTGTAGATGGCAGAAGAGTACCAATTACAGTAATAGGATAATTCAGCCTTTACATATACTGTTTGTGTTATGATTAAAGCACTGGCTTGTAAGAGATCCAAATCTGTCATCTTCTGCCTCTTATGATGTCTGAATTGACTACTTAATTCTATTTACATTATTTTCATACTGTAAAAACATATTACTGGAGGATATAATCATCCTTGTTCCTTCTGCAGTACATATAGATGTCAAAAAGCCTTTTCTCATTTATCTTCCTGAATTGAAATAAAAAATGCTCAGTAATATCAAATGAAGAAATGTACTAGATTAAATGTCCAGGGAGGGAATTAGCTACCCTTTTTCATCCTGCCAATGTCAGAATATCTATCCATGCTAGAGGTATCATCTATTCAGCAACTGTAACCTTGAATTGAACTGGTTATCTTACTGCCATTGCTTCTTTTTTCTTCTAGTAGGTTTCATCTGATAATCCATTGTGCATTAAATGAATGGTCTACAATGAGTTGTTCAATAATTCCTTTAAGTGTTTGTTCTATTTTGTGTTAGCATCTTCTAATCTTCTTTGCCTGGTTAATAAGCCAAAGTCATACTAGGTAATTTTGTTTGCATATTTTTAGCATGTATCTGTATAACACTGGATAAAAAGGATTATGTAGAATAGTATTTAGTACTTTGCACAATGTACTTAAGCTGAAATCACTGTTGTAATTCTAGAGGACACATTGTGATTATAATTTATTACATAATACATACTGAAAGTATTTGCCTTTATTTTGTCAAAGTCTTTGCTTTTTTGCATTATCCTTAGAGTTTTTAAAAGTCAATGTGTTATGAAAATTTACAGCCAGATTTAATGTTAGAAATAAACCTAACTGAATCAATTTAGATTTCAAATATTTTGAAATATTCTTTATGTTGCCAACTTAAGCCCAAATCCTGTATTTATTTACCCAAAAATGAATCCTATTGAGAATAATAGAATTCTGTAATGATATATTAATATAATTCAATAACTGTATAAAATGATATTATTAGAAGTATATGGCAACGTGTACAATTATGTTTATTTTAGATTTCAAGTCTATTAAAAAAGAAAGACAAGGCAACAGTAATCTGTCAAGGAACCAATTGTTGGATAACATTACGTGTTGTAAATGTAAAGAGAGCAAATGTTGGTGTATATAGACTTTTTAAAAGCAAACTTTTTCATTTTTCTGTCTTCTGCTGTCCCTGAAAAATCTCTCTAGATCAGGGGTGGGCAAACTTTTTGGCTCGGGGGCCTCATTGACTTTTAAAATTTGAAAGACGGGCCGGGTCATTTTTTTGGGAATCGCCCCCCCACCCTTTCCCCCCCTTCTCCTCCTCCTTCCCCTCCCCTCGGAGGCCCCCTGAGTCAGGAGTTGCTACCGCCGGCGCAGCTCCGCGCGGCTCCAGTCCCGCGTTGCCTCGGGAAGGGAAAGGCCAAAAGGAAGAGCCGCGGCGGCGCTTTGCAATGGCAGCAGCAGCACCAGAGGCTCAGGCTCAGCAGCTCCTGGTTTTGCCTTTCCCTTCCCAAGGCAACACGGGACTGGAGCCGCGTGGAGCTGCGCCAGTGGTAGCAACTCCTGACAGCCCCAGCTGGACACCTGAGCGGAGCCCGGGCGGAACTGCCTGTTGCTGCTGCGGGCGTCTGGCTGCCCAAGTAAAGAACCTCACCAGCTCGATTTTTTGGTGCGCGGCGCGGGGTCTCTTTTGGCCGGCCCCGATTTTTTTTCCAGAGGCGGGCCGTATTAAAAAGACCAACGGGCCGGATGTGGCCCACGGGCTGTAGTTTGCCCACCCCTGCTCTAGATTCTCTCTAGAAGGTTCCTCTTCCCAGTTTTGAATCAATCATTTTCTTCCATTCCAGCTTTCCTGAAGATATGTTAAACAGTCTCCCATGTCAAAGAGAGCTTTTAAAGGAGAGCAGACAACTACAAGAGTGGAGGAGTGAAAAATATTCTTAGTCAAATTTCCACAGTTTCAAACCAACATACTTAATTAAATTTGAAAATATTTCCATTTTGGTTAAATGTTATATAAAGTTACCACTTACAACTTACTTTGTTTATGGATTATAAGATAAATCTTTAACATTAGGACTTTTATTTTAGCATTGCTTTTGTTGAATGCTACTTATGGTTATAAATCCTTTTCATGCTATATGTATATTTCATGCTAATGTTTAATATAATGTTTTTAAGATTATACTTTGAATCATTCTGTAAGTACAGGTCTGTCAGCTTCAAGCACTTCTATGGTTGTGATTCCTTATGTCAGGCCACAGGACCTTTATTGTTGTAGTACTTTGGAGTGTCAGCAAAAGTTACTAGACCATTTTGTATCAGAACTTCATCTTGCCTCATTCTGTTCTTTCCTTCTTAGCTGGATTTGTCAATTATTGCAATAGTGGGGAAGACTTGCCATCTTGTAGAAGTTGCCTTCATGGAGTTAGGCAAGATTTATCGCTAAAAGAGTTGAGGACATTACCACTGATAATAGATGCTAAGCTGAGCTCATTATCAATCCAGTAGATGTAGCTTCTTTATATATCAACTCTACGGAAATTAACACAGAAAAGTATTGGGATTTCCATACCTATTGTTGAAGACTATACCGTTCAATAGTTTCAGATAATACATTGCCAATTTTTATTAACATACATTGTCCTGAACTATGTCTTTGCCAGCTCAAGCCTGTAAATTTTTGTTCACACAAATACATAATGTCATAGGTTTTGTTTGAACTTCTTTCTACCATAAATACTAAGTTTCTAACCTGCAAGAATTTTGCAGTTGATGCTTATCTGTGGCTTGGCGAACTGTATGCTATAGGTACCGGTAGTTCTCAGCTTACTACTGTAATTGAGCCCCAAATAATTACAGTTGTAAGTCAAGGCATCAATAAATTTTCCCCAATGGGTGTTTTTGAAGTAAATGCAGGAAAACAGCAAAAAAGTTACAGATTGCAATCGCATGACATGAGATGCTGCAAAGAGCAATAAAGATGTGCTCGTTGCCAAATACCTGAAATGTGATTTTGTGACCATAGTGGTATGTGCACAGCTGTTACTTTGAAAATGGCTCATAAGTAGCTGGGGAGGGCTGTTGTAAGTTGAAGACTACTAGTATATAGACAGATTCTGTCACACTGACAGAAAATTTCATCTTGAGTTCTACATAAAATTGTCGGAGTCTATTTGAACTAACTTCTTATTCTCTTGATCTTTTTTCTACAAACTGTTATGATCTTAAAAAGTTCTTATATTGCATTAGATAGCTGTTGGCTATGGACAACTCTATAGATTACTGTATTTTTCGGATTATAAAACGCCTCTGACTAAACGCAACTAAGTTTCGAGGAGGAAAACAAGAAAAAAATATTCTGAATCAAATGGTACAGTAATATATTTAATAAATTATAGCAGAATAATATTTCAACCATGTAAAGTCAACAGCAACATCAAGAACCATCATCACTGTCATTAACAAATGAGGAGAGACTTTAAGGTTCAAACACTTAATTTTCTGGAAACCCCAAGAACTCATCATCACTAGTGTCAAAATTTAGGAAGCTCAGTTCCTCACAATCACTATATCACTTTCTTCACTATCTTCATATATGATCTTTAGTTCCATCTAAGGCATTGCTAATAGAATAGAATTCTTTATTGGCCAAGTGTGATTGGACACACAAGGAATTTGTCTTGGTGCAAATGCTTTTAGGGTACATAAAAGAAAATATACATTCATCAAGAGCCAAGAATCACAAGGTACAACACTTAATAATAGTCATAGGGTACAATAAGCAATCAAATCATACTAGGAAACAGTCAATATAAATTGTAAGGATACAAGCAACAAAGTTACAGTCATACAGTCACAAGTGGGAGAGGATGGGTAATAAGGAGTGATGACAAGATTAATAGTAATAGTAGTGTAGACTTTATAAATAGTTGGACAGTGTTGAGGGAATTATTTGTTTAGCA